ATTACCTGATTATGTGTCAATAAACCTCTTCATTTTTGTAGCCATTAATATATGATATTCTGTCCTATGGTTGTACTGTCATTAACAAATGCTCTCAAATTGGATATTTGAATTGTTTTGATTTTTTTTTTTTTTTGGCTATTCTAAAATGGTGTTGCCCTGAATTTCATGGGTAAGTACATAGTCTCTCTACCCTTTGTTTTCCACCTGTGTGGATAACCTCAGGATAACGATACTACTCCCACCTGGGGTTGTATGGTGGCTGTGAGTTAACACATGTAAAGCTCTTAGCACAAGTACAGTACAGTGCATAGCAGCCTAGACATGCTTAATAAATATTAGCTGTTTTACTTTATAGCCCAGAGAAAGCTGTCTTAACGCAGATTGCGGAGTAAATAAATAGGAGAGCCCCGGAAGTGTTCTTTGCAAACCTGCAGGATGAGGTACAGGTAGAAGGTGTGGGCTGGGGGCTCCCTAGGTTGAGTAGTTCCCCAGTGTTTTCTTATTTATAGAATAAGCTTCCAGATGGCTAGGAGTCTTTTATTGTTTTTTTTAATACACAGTAGAGGATACCAGGTGGTCACCAAAGACTTGTCACTGTTCCCTGACATTTAAGAATCTTTGCTGATGAGTTTCCGATCAGCCTGTGCAGTCATCAAGGCCAGTCTTTACCCTGCCACCCACAGCCTGTTCACTGAGAATAATGTGCTCTGGCTGAAGATTTTTGCAAGGGCAGCTGACAAACATCAGTTGTGCTCAGCCCAAGGGGCGACTGTCTTATCTTCAGGGATGCGGGAACACGGGCATGGAGGGAGCAAGTTCCAGACCAGTACTTGCTGGCTCTGCGACCTTGGGCCAGCAGTTTCCTCACTCCGATCCCTGCCTCTGTTTCCTTTTCTGTAACTCTGAGGGGGACTAGAGGAGCTCAGAATGGTATAGCACAGTGGCTAGCTCTGAACCCCATCCAACACGGTGCCTTCCCTCCACTTGCAACGACTCTGTTGCATTGTATTCATTCTACTTTTCACATTGCAGAGGATCTTATTTACTTGTTTGCCACTAAAATGGAAGCTTCCTGAAGGAGGAGGCCTTGCCTGTCTTGTTCTCTGCAGTTAACACCAGGGTCCAGCACTGCCACAGAGCCTCTAAAAATATGTGTGTCGCATGAGTGAAACCTCAGAGCCTGGGTTCAAATCCTGATTGCACCACTTGCTGTATGACCTCGGACAAACCACTTAAACTACACCTCAGTGTTCTCGCTTAAAAATAGTAATTATTTTCAGTTTTCCCACTTGAAAAATATGAATTAGTAATCGTTCCTCTCTTATCAGGTGGAGAGGATCAAATGAGGAAATATCCAGGAAGCATTAAGCACATTGGCTGGTACAGAGCACACTAATGATAACAGCAAACGTTTATGTAGCACGACAGCCAGGCACTGATCTAAACGCATCACGTATGTTAACTATGTTAATCTTCACTAGATTTTACGAAATCGGTACTATTATGCCATTTTACTGATGGGTAAACTGAGGTCCAGGGACTAAGTAACTTATCGCTGTCATTTTACATCTAAGGCTCCTTCCAAGCTCTCCGTGGGCGAACCCTCTTGAAGGACCAGAAGGCGCGCCGGGCCAGCGTCCGGTCCAGTCCGCGGCCTGGCCAGGATGGAAAGGGTTACTCGGCCCGAGCGCGCGTTACCGGCGGGCTCACAAAGCCGACAGACCCCAGCCGGGCGCCGGACGCTTCCTTGCCTCCCATCCGCGCACACGCCCCTTCCTGTCACGGCTGGGCCCGGCCCCACCCCCTGGCGCCGCCAGCGGGCCGGGAGCTGCCAGAGTGGACGATTCCAGAGGCATGCTAATGAGGGGGCGGGCGCCGCAGCCCATTGGCTGTCCGCGGAGTGTCGGTGAAGTCAGCTCCGAGTCCCAGAAAAACAGAGCGGGGCCAGCTGCAGCGTGGAGTGCGAGAGGGGCGGACGCGCGCAGCCCGCCCGCCTGGCGACCAGCAAGGTAAGCCAGCGCCCGCCCGTCGGCGCTCGTCCGCTCGGCGGCGGCAGCGCCGGGGGTGTGCGCTGCCAGGCCCCCCGCGGGCGGCGCCTTTGTTCCGCGCTCTAAGGAGGCGCATTTAAAGGGCCAGCTGTTGGAGGGACCTGGGGGACCCCTCTCCCCCAGAGCATCCCCCGATGGGCACGGGGAAAGCGGTGGTCGCCCGCTGCCGAACCGTCCATCCTGCCTGCTCGGCGGATCCCCAGTCTTTCCAGGAAAGTTCCCTAGGGTGCGGAGGAAATGAGGGCTTCCAGGGTTGGGTGTTTTTTTTTTTTTCTTATTTTGGTGGGTGGGGGGTAGTGCGATCATGGCCTCTGCTAGGAGAGACTGTCCTCCCTTCTCAGGGTGGCTGCAGTGTGGGTGGGTGGAAGAGACATCAAAGCCCGGATGGGTTTGTGCTGTAAAGTGAAACTACCGAGGAGGGGCACCTCTGCAGAAGCCAGAGGAAGGCGGAGGGAGCGAGCGGCAGGATGGAGGCATCTCAGGTGTGTTCATTCATCAGCATCCCCGGGAGAGGGCGGCGGGAGGGGCGCGAGGACGCCGCGGCTGGCTGGACCCGCCTGAATGAACCGGGACGAGTGTGCGCCGGGGACACCGCGCCTGCCCGTGCCGCCCGTGCCCCTTCCTCTCCCCGAGTAGCTGACAGCATCTTGCTAGGCAGCTCGTCACCGACATGGACAGCAAGCAACTCCTTTCTCCGAATTCCCCGGGCATCCCCCACTCTCACCTCCCTGCTTTTCGACGTGGCTTCCTAGATACACGGTAGCGCCATTCAAGATAGAGGGAAAGAGGCTTGAAGTCATTATGTTTCCTTCATGGGGGAATGTGCTGTCGAATTCTGCATCCCCATGCATCCGCTGTCGTAAGATGGCTTTGAAATTCACCAGTGCATGCTTACAACAGGCAGACAAGAATTTATTACGCTATTACATTGCTACATAAAAGCAGAAGGGATCCCACTGAGCGTGGCTCGTTTTATCCAGTCCCCAGGTTTTCCCAGTATGTTCTGGGCGAGCCTTTGGATTTTTGTTTTAAATACTGAGCGCTGGATGCCCCTGTTGTCACAGAGCCGACCTGCTGAAATTGCTGGAATTGGTTTCACCGTCAATAGGAGGGAGGTTCATCTAGAGACATCATGGAACCTATCTGGCATGTCAGGCCTCTGACTCCATCTCTCCCCTCAACAGCCCCCCGCTCCCCGCGGCCTTTTTCCTCTCTTAAGGGGAGGCTGGGGACGGATTGGCTGCCTTCACTCTCCTTGTGTTTTGAGCTCCTCTGCTTAGATTCAATTCTGTGTTTTTGGTTGGAAACGTAGCTTGTTGGTGATCGAAAAGAGGAGGGTTGGATTAAAAGTGCGGTGGGCAGCAGAGGGGTCAGCGGCATCAATGATAGAAAACAGATGACGGACATATCTCCAGCCTTCAGACACAGACGAGGTAGATGGCTGTCTTCCGAGTGAGGGTGTTTGGGGCTGTGAGGGGGAGGGGTGGAGGAAGAGGATGCCTCCTGCAGTTTTCTGCCCTGCCCTCTGGATGCTGCTTTAAATAGCCCCTTGCCAACCAAGCTCTGATGTCTTCTTCTTGGCCTGAGGGGAAAAGAGGGAAGGATTGGTTTGTTGGTACCTTTGCCCTAGGCACTGTTGGAGCAGATGGTTAGGAAAGGGTTAGTTCCCCAGGGGTGTCAGAGAGCACGTTTCTCAGCTGGAGGGCCCTGAGACCACTCCTTTGGCGACTTCCCTGCAGGGAAATAGCAACTGAAATGAAGTGCTGTCTACCCTCTGGGGTAAAGAGATGGGAGGGTATTATCTTGTGGACGATACCCACTGTTGACCCTTTCCTTTTCCTACCTGCTTTCATTTGTTGTAGTTGGAGAGTTTCTGTAAACTTTTCAGAAGAGATTGGGCATATTGGGGAGTGGGTAGGAGTTATGGGAAAGGATGAGCAAATGCTTCTTCCTGGCAGAACAAAGCACTGTTCAGCTGTTCCTCTCTTTCCCCTTCTCTAAAATAGAGTTCAATACAGATAGCAGAGTCTAGGGTTTTCTTTGCAAAGAATGAAAGGGCAGGGCCCAGGAAAGAAAGCTTTTATTGTGCAGCATTGATAATCATCAGATCATCCAAACTTATCTCCGGACCCCTCCCTGGATGTGGAGATAGATTTGCTGTAGAGGGCACTCCATGGTAGGATTTGACCTGTCTGTAGGAGAAAGGCAGGGATGGTTTCCAAAAGCTTTGGTGGAAGAGAGCTCTAGACCAGAGGCAGGTCAGCTGGCTTTGATCCTGGCCACTAATCTTTGGGCTTTGGGCTAGTGGCTTCTGCTCTCTGGGCCAGTATCCTTGCTGATGAAGTGGAGGACGTTAGAGCAGAGGGTCTTCCAGTTTTCCTGACAACTCTACTGTTCTTAGAGTCACAGTTTGTGATGGCATTTTTCGGTTCTTGTATGCTAAACTGATATTATATTCCAAGTATTGCACAATGGTATGAAAAAAGCATTCTAGAACTCAGGCTTCTGTTGGACTCACATCTACCTTTTCCTTCATTGTGTGATTTGTGAGGCTTTACTGTACATAAATAATTCAGAGCTAGAATGGCCCAGAGTGAGAGGCACAGACCCCAGAGTGAGTGGCTGTCTGTGGGTGATGAGGGTGAGATGACAGATTGCTGAGGAAAGGGAGTTTCTGTAATTTGTTCTCTTTCCCTGTGGATGTTTAACTTGCTGGGTTATTTATGGTTATACAGGTGAACGTTTACCTATCTAGAAGATGAGAGTTGTAAAAGACCTCTGTGATTGCCATGTTCCACCACCCAACTCACTGAGGAATTTGAAGGGGTGGGAGGTTTGGCCACTGTTTCAAGGTCGCACAGCTGGCAAGGCGTGGAGCTGGGGTGGGAACTCAGATGGATAGATTGTAGATCTTGGTGGGAACTCAGGTGGATAGATTGTAGATCTTGTTTTCTAGATGTATCTGGGTTGTTTATTTATTTATTTTTATTTTTGGTGGTGGTTGTTATTTTGAAACAGGGTCTCACTCTGTCACCCAGGCTGGAGTGCAGTGGCATAATCATGGCTCACTGCGGCCTCAACCTCCTGTGCCCAGGCAGTCCTCCTACCTTGAGAAGCTAAGGTAGGAGGACTGCCTGGGCACAGGAGGTCGAGGGACTACAGGCACGCACTACCACACCCAGCTAATTTTTGTGCTTTTTGTATAGGGTTTTGCCATGTTGCCCAGGCTGGTCTCAAACTCCAGGACTCAAGCGATCTGCCTGCATCAGCCTGCCAGCATGCTGGAGTTCTAGGCTTGAGCCATTGTGCCTGGCCTATATGTATCTGTTAAGGCCCCGCTTCCTCTGAGAGAATTGATTCTAAGATGGAATAGGGAAACATGGGAGGAAATAGGAGCACAGGAAGAGAGAGGCTGGAGAAACAGACAAGAGAAAATAGTGGGCTGGGGACAGGTTATAGGGGGAAGGGAAAAACACAGAAACCAAGCTTGGAGGAGAAAAGGATGGCACTTGAAAGGGGGAGGCTCTATTGTCTCTGAAAGAGCTGAGCTCTTTTGCAGCCCTTGGGTGAAGTGAGGAGAGGTTTGGTAGACTAGGGTTGGGGGTGGGGTGGGGGGTGTGGACTGAGACTCACTTGGAATCTCCTTGGGATCGCTCCTGTTGACCCTCAGATTGCAGTGTGGTGGTGGCTGCTTAGTTTCAGGGCCAACTGAGGCCTTTAGATCCATGGGAGCATGCAGAACGTGGACATGTGGGAAGTCAGGTGTGCGAGTGGTGGTGCTGGCTGATGCCGAGGTGGGACTGGGTTCTGCTCAAGTCCAAGTTTTTTTGTAAATGCAAAGCTCAAAACACTTTTCCATGGATTTCTTTTCAGTGCAAGCAGCATTTTCTTCTCTGAATGTTTTATGAGATAGTGTTTCATGTACTCCCTTTTCAGAGGAGACACTTGGAGATGAATGATTTACTGAATTGTGGCTCATTTGGGGGAGATTCTGGCTTGTGACCTAAGCTAAGCTTCAGAATGTTTCAATGAGCAATTAAAGAGCTGTGAACAGAGGCCGGGTGTGGTGGCTCAAGCCTGTAATCCCAGCACTTTGGGAGGCCGAGGCGGGTGGATCACGAGGTCAAGAGATCAAGACCATCCTGGTCAACATGGTGAAACCCCATCTCTACTAAAAA